CGGGGAACCAAAACATGGAAGCCTTACTCCTCCTAGACAGGACCCTCTGATGGGGCGGAGGGGGAGAGGGTGAGGGAGTTGCCACCAGGGTGGAAGCCTTACCAGTGAGCAGAAAAGCTGGGGACTTGCCACAGATGATGCCCGCCCGTGGACCTTGCAAGGTAGGTGAGTGGGGAGCAGACTGCTTCATACAGCACTGGGACTGTTGGGTTTATTTGCAGAAATTGTGGGTGCTGGTGGCACAGGTGGTGGAACTCGCGCCATCTGCTGGGAGATCTGAGAGAGGGGCAATTGTGCAGCGCAAGCACCATGCACCCCAGCAAAGTGCTGCACCCTGTCCATGTACCCCACACCATGGTCAGAAGCAGCAAGGAGTTGGGGCCTTGAATTCTGGGTCCGATGAGGCAGTGACAGTACTGCTTTGCAGAGAAAGGGCAGCAGAGGTAGCCAACTCTCTCTGATTGGAATATCCTCCCTCCTTACCAGACTGAGGCTGACTTTTTGGATTCCGTGGGCTACACCCTTCACCTGCAGCCAGTTTACCAAAAGAGGCAAACAAGCACAATTAAAGGCACAGCAACCCAAGCAGACAAAGCAAATAAGGCAACACGCAGGCCCAGGAGACAAGGAACATCTGAACACAAGATGGAAAAGTTGAGGCGGAGAAGTCCGGAGACCTGCATAAAGGAGGCAGAATTCAAGGACCTTGGGGCCAAAGATTTTAGAGTCACAACTTTTTAAAAACTCAATGAAGTCCTGGCAGGGCAGTCAACACAGAAATTAGGCACAGGATTTTAGAAAAGATCCAGGAGCAAAAACTGAAGACATTGAAGATAATTTAAAAATGCAAAAAAGATGTTGGATGAAATGGGGACAAACATGGAAAGCATATTAAATAGACTTAAGCTGGCAAGAGAGAGAATTTGGAAATTGAAGACACAAAAGTACAAATGACTTAAGTGAAGAAAAGAGAGAAATAAGATCTAGGAAAAAGAAACTCTTCTAGAAATACCTGACTCCATCAGAAGAAGAGACCCTATGACCCGGCAATACTGTTTCTAGATATTTACCCAGGGAACGTGAAGGCGCCACTGCCAAGAGACGCCCGCGTCCCGGGCCCACTGCGGCGTGGATCCTGGCGGCGAGCCAGGGAGCCCACCCAAGGCCCAGGGACGAGCAAGTGGCTAAGGAGGCTGTGGGACACGCACGCCACAGCGCAGCACTTGGCGATCTGAAAAGATGAAATACTGCCCTTGTGGACAACGCGGATGGCTGTGGGGGTGGGTGATGGTTATGAGAAGTGACATAGGTAGAAAGGGAAAGACAGTTTCTGGAGGGTTTCACTCCTGTGGACTAAAAATAACCCCAAAGCACACGAAGACCCGGCAAGACAACAAGAACAATCCCCAGAGTCTGTGGAAAGTCTGCTGGCTACCGGGGCCGGGGAGAGGGGTTGTGCTTCCCAAGTTTCATGGAAGGTAAACAAGGGGCAAATCAAGACTCGAGAGGGAAAAGGAAGCTCTTGGGAGGGGCCCTCACTCTCTGTGGGCCTTTTTCCTCACCGCTGCATCAGGCGGAGGCCGGGCCCCTTCTCTGGTGCTTCAGAGAAGGTCCTGGAAGCCGCCCGCACTCCGAACTGCTCCCTGGAGCCCCGTGCAGCTGCCCTCGGAACCTCACAGCTCGGTCCTCTGGGGGCCTGATAGAAGTCCTTGGGGAGCCCCTCAGGGGGCTGCGTGCCTCAGCACCTCCCTGGAGGCACATGGGGAAGCCTGAGAGCCTTCCAGATCCCAGGCTGGGACTCCTGGAGCCCCGACCCGGCAGCCCAGTGGACAAATGACTGATGTGCGGCTGCCGCAGCTAAGAGCAAGGAGCAGGACAGGGTCAAGGGCGCCAGGGATGGTGGTGGAGAAGAATGACGCAACCCTGGTTTTCTGGAAAAAATGTTACAAATGTGACAGATGAAAAAAAGGTAATCCTGGAAAAAAGTCGCCCCTTTTTTTAGGAGTGAGTCTTTGGCCGCTTATTTGATGCCGTCTCTATTTTGGGTGACCTGTTTCATGAGCAGGCTCGTCATGTTCCACAAATAACTGTGTAAGTATAGAAAAAAATGAAAAATAAGGTCACATTTGGGGACAGCCGAGCAGTGCTGCAAAGTCCGACCCTCCTCGGGCCTGCCCAGGAAGCCTGGGCCCAGGGAAGCCTCAGGCCACCACTCAGAAGGCCGCGTGGGGGTGGAGCAAAGCGGGTGGCCCAGCAGGCTTGTGGTGGGGGGTCTTGCTTGGTGGCTCCGGAGAGAAGGCAGGGGTAGGTGACTTGCCATCTCCTTGGGGCCGGAGACAAGATGGCGCTGGCCAGGTGGGGATGGAAGAGGCTGATAGGGAAAGGAAAAGCAGAGGCCCGTCCTCAGGGGCGCCTGTGGGAGGCAGCACAGCGGGTGTGATGGGGGGTGGTAGAGGGGAAGGTCGGGACTCTGGTCCTGTGGAAGCACGGCCTCCACAGCTTGTCCGTGGGCAGGGCCTCAGAGCCAGAGGGAGGGGTGAATGCAGTGAATGTCCTTGGGCTTGGCTCCCGGATCCTTCTAGCAACCTTTCTGCTTCGTTGCCAAGGGCCGGCTGTAGGTCAGGGGTCCAGTTAGAATCCAAACCTGGTCTGAAAACAAAGCTGTGCTCCTGGCCTGTTGGTACAGCATGGAGGGCCGGTGGGGGTGGGGTGGGGTGTGAAGACCAGGCTGCCCACAGCAAGGCGGGGGGTCTCTTTGGACCCATGAGGGGAAACCCTCTAAGCCAGGCCTCGTCAGGGGGCTGGGCACTGACTGGTCTGCTAGAGCAAGAATGTGTGGGGGGAGCGTCAACCAGAAGGGAGTGCTGGGTAAGGCTTTGCGGGACTTCAAAGCATCCGATGTCCTGCCAGAGGCCTTCAGCCTGGTGGCCCCCCGAGACCAGGTGTGTGCTCCTGGGAGGGCACTTGGGGCGCTTTATCTTCTCAGACTCTCCTGGGAGCGCTCGGGGCCAGAGCGGGTGTTCTCTGAGCTGCAGCAGAGGGGGCCACGCCCAGGCAGGGCAAGTTGGGACAACTCCAGCCAACTCCCCCAGCAGAGTGGCACCGCACAGCGCTCCATGTGAGGACAAGTGCTCCCCTGAAGGTTTTGGGGGTGAGGGTCCAGCTGAAGTATGTCGGTAGCAGGCCCAGCAGGCCCACCCCAGGAAGTGGCAGGGGGTCATAGCTGGTACGTCAGGTGTGAAGGGACAGCAAGGGGGACACAGGGGTGGGATGGAAGGGCTAGGTGGCAGCTGCCACACCATTGGGAGGATGTGTCCAAATCCAGAGACTTGAGGAGCAAGTCAGTTGCGCATGGGTGTGCCTGGCAGTGGATAGGGCCTACGGGCTGGCATCAAATGGGAATGACACAGCCAAGTGCAGGGAGGGTGATGCGGGGCTGGGAACCTGCAGGCCTCAGGCTCCGTGAGGCTTACAAGTGGCCTCCGACTATAAATGGAAGCAGGCTGAGGGGAACCCCACCTGTAGGAGAAACTTCAGGAAACTTCCTCTGCAGTCTGACCGAGACTATCATGCTGGACTGAGTGGACCACCCAGAGGGGAGGGGCTCTGCCACAGCCTCCCCAGGGAGGAGCCAGGCTGAGGCTCCCAGCAAATGCTCAGGAAGGGGCTGTGGCTGGGAGGGTGTAGCACCGGCCCTCCCACGCTGGGTTCCTTCTGGAACCTGCACGTGCTCCTTGGGTGGAGCGCGCTTTGTTATTAAAAGGGAGAACTGGTCAGGAAAGAGGGCTGGGGTTCTACAGGGTAGCTGTGTCTGCCTCCCGCTCTGTGCTAACCCACCCCACACCCCCATATGTAGAATGCCCCAGTCACTGGGAAGTGGTCATGTTTGTCCCCTGGGCCCCTGAGCTGTGACCACCGCCTCTGGGCTTTCTGCTCTGCCCTTTCTTTTCCTCTCTCCAGGCAGCTGGTGGCAAGAAGCAAGGGTCCGCAGTGCAGCCTCCCCAGGACAGGTACAACATCGGAGTTTCCAGATAGAGAAGGCAGGGGAAGGACAGACCCTCCGGCTTTGTGGTCTGAGCCACTGGCTCCAACATAGCTTTTCAGTCTTGCAAGTGACATCACCAGACACCAGGTCAGCCCGCTGCTCACAAGGCTGGGCGGCCCCCCATGGGGAGCACAGGGTCTAGCACAGAGTTCTGGCCCTACCACCACCCCACCTAGCCAGCTCCACCTCAGCATAGTGGAGCCGTTTCCATGAAAAAGCAAGTAGCCCCACGATCAGAGGGCCTCAGAAGCACGAAGGGCCCTCCCTGTCCCAGAGGGCAGAGAACTAGGATGCAACGTGCCAACAGCTAGCACCACTCACACTGTGGCACTTGTGCCGAGTCCTCAACAGACAAGTGGACCGGCCTGAATGAAAACAACGATGCCAAAGTGGGCAGGGGAATGACAGCTGAGCGCTGCAGGCCTTCGGGGCGGAAGGGCCTGAAGACCCCGCGGGGCACTCGAGGCACCTGGATGTGGACTGCTTATTAGCTGACGTTGTTGCATCAACGCTCAATTTGAGGGGTATAGTGGGGCTACCTTGGGTATATCATTCTTCGGAGATACTGGACACTGAGGAACGAAGGCTCTGTGGGCTGCAACTTCCCAAGGTTTCAGGAGAACATGCGTGTGGGCTGTGTCTTCACGTGTGTCCAGAGGCAGAGAGCTTGTGTAACAAATGGAGGCGAAACTAAGCGGCGATGGGCTCATGGGTGCCCCCACACTCTGCCCTCACCCGTGGCAGAACCACGTGCCTGCACTTCCCGGTCTCGTCTGAAGCTGGCTCACCTCTCAAGCACCGCGATGAACGGGCCACCCCCCTGAGGGCATGGCCACCCTCCTGAGGGCACACCTGCACAGGCCGAGAGGGGGCCCCGCCTGCCCGAGCAGGCGTGGTCTGTGCCCCGTGCTCAAGCTGAACGCCCCCCTGAATGCCGCAGAAGTGGCGCTCCCACAGACCACAGCACACCAGCACCTCCTTTCCAGGGTTTATTTCATGTGCTAGCATCCATTCTTGACCTCGACAGAAACACTTAGATGATTATGACTTGCTTTTCCATCAACTCATTTTTTTCCCTATGAATAACCAAAAAATTTCTTCTCAACACTTTTTTATTTTTTAATAAGAAGCTATAAATAAATAAAGCTTTAAATGCTCCTGGGTTCAAGTTAAACTCTTCCAGTTCCCAAAATGTTCACAGACTCATTGCTCAGACAACTCTGCCGTCTTAGGACCCTGAGCACGCGGGCAGGCCTGCGAGGGGAGCCAGCTGTCCACTAGTCCTCAGCCCCGGGCGGGGCTGTCCCTTCCACGGCGCCCCAGCCTGCGGCGCTGTGGGCGATGCTGCAGGATGCTTCCCTGCCAGGCAGGCGGCCTGAGTGGAAGTGCTGGCTGAGACTCGAGGGCTGAGGCGCCCTGCCAGCCGTTCTGTCTGGGGCCCCATGCACCTAGGTGCTGCACGAGATGGGGCCCCTTTCCGGATGCTGCAAAACAACCGAGGAGAGACGGTGTTTCCGTGTGAATTGGGACAACAGGCCATGAGTTAAAACATTCCAATATGTACAAAACAGATCCTCTGCTCAGGCCCACACACTGGCAGTCCCTCAAGGGCGCTGGGAGCCAGGCTGCAGGCCAGGTGCCCAGGGGCTTGGGTAGAACTGGGTTGAGCTTTCCACTTGCACCTGGAGCTGCCACCGCATGACAGGAGGCCCTAGGCGTCCCTGCGAGCCCAGAGCTCTGGAGAACATGCCCACGCTCTCCCAGGTGCACACCCACCCCGGCGAGCATCAGAGCAGCTCTCCAAACTGCCCTCCACCCCTTTCCGAGAGTCACTTAGCCACTGGGGTGTCCTCAGCATGACACACGCCTGCCCTGGGGGCATGCCTGGGCTGGGCTGCCAATCCCACTGCCCTCTGTGGGCTAAGGTGAAAGGGCCAGTAAGAAACTGGAAGACAGGGCCCTTACGCTAGAGGAGACTAAAGTGCTTCCTCCTGGGCCGGCAGCCACTGCCTTCACCGCTATAGCTTCTCCCGGCCCCCAGGCCCTCACCCCAGGGTGGGACGACTGGGCCTAGTGTGGTGCCGGGAAGGGAAAAAGAGCCTTGGCGGGCTCTGTTCTCTCCAGGTGGCTATCACTGCCCCGCCTGAGACAGGTGCCACCCAGGTCGGGTGGGAAGGGCCCACAGAACCCAGCCTGTCTCTGGTGAGGCAGGCCCGGGAGAGGCCTTGAGCACAGAAATGACAGGGCCTGGGGGCGGGTTTACTAGGATATGGAACATGGCTTCTCCAATTTGCAGGCGGCCAGGAACAGGTCCTGACCAGCTGGGGTGGGGGTGCAGGGAAATTTGGTGAGCGCCTAGGGGGTGGAGGAAGGTTGTCTATGTGGGAACCAGGGAGCCACCCAGAACTGTTTCTTCCAACCCTAATTGAGAATCTGAAAGCGAGAGTCCCCTTCCCTGGCCGTCCATCGCTCCAAATATGGCTCATGGGCAGGGGGTGCCCCTATGGTGCTCCAGCTGAAGGAGGCCTGATGGTTACACGCGGGGACCTGACGCAGCGGGCATGTGCCCTGAACAGTGCCCAAGTGATGGAGCGGAAGGTCAGAGGCGGCTGGGACATAGAGAGCTGTGTGTAGTCCCTTCTCACCAGATGGGGGGCGCCTCAGACACAGGTGCCAGCATCTGTGGCCACAGCCTTCCATGCCTGGGGTTCTGCAGTGTGGGGCCCACCTCCCCGCAGTTTGAGGACCGAGGGAGATGGGACGGGGCCACCCAGGAGGTGTGCTTTGCTCTCCTGGCCCGAAGCACAAAGCCAGATCTGGGTTTTGATCTTGGCCCGGAGGAGAGCAGACTTCTAGGGGCTGAACTAGACCTGGGCTTCGGGAGGGTGGGCCCTGACCTGGCAGGTGGGCAAGCCGGGGTGCTCCATTACTGATGACACCTCAGAAGCTGACTGTGCTGGGGGAGGCGGGTGCTTCATATAGGCCCCGCGGCATCAGGGCACTGAGGCGTTGCCCAAGCGGCCTGAGCCCGGGGAGGTGCTTGGAGTTGGTGTCAAACTGGTCTGGGGAGTAAGAGTGGGGTGTGCATAGTGGGTGTGGGGTGTGCGCCTGCCTGGCAGGTCCACTCTCGACCTGGACCGTCCTGTTCTCTTCCAACCATCAGCTGTGGAGGGGGGGCCAGGGGCAGGGCGCCGCTGCCCTGGCTTGTGCGGGCGGCCTGGGGTGTCCTCTGGCACGCGCTCCTCAGCGTGGCACTGGTGGATTTCTCAGGCCCCGACATGGAAGACAGCACCGCCCCTGCCCATCCCCCGCTTTCCCGGCTCTGTCCTCTCTCAGGACGCATCTACCTCGAGGTGAGCAAAATAACTTGAGAAGCTCAACCTGCAGAGTTCGAGGCGGCCCGGGTGTGCTGGGCTGCGTGCCTCGCCCCCCGCCCCCGCCCGCCCCGCTGCTGCGCCACTACCACTTCTCGATGATGTGGCTCATGTAGTCCTCGGTGGGCACGCGGCCGGGCTCCTCAGCCTCCTCCCGCGGCAGCGCCTCCTTGGCCCGGTGCAGCAGGCGCTCCTCGCGGCTCTTGAGGCGCTGCTCCCGGCGCTCCAGCTGCCGCTTGTACTGGTAGCGCTGCTGGAAGAGGTCCTTGGCGTAGTCGTAGAGCTGCATGTCCAGGTCGTTGAGCTCCTCGATGCGCCGGATGGTGTCCTCATCCACCTCCACGCCGCCCGCCCGCGTGCTGTTGTACTGCATGAAGGGCCGGATGAACTTGAGGTTGAACGTCCGCTCGAACAGGTACTGCGTCTTGCGCTGGAACTCCGTCAGGCCGAAGAAGGCCATGCCCCGCAGGTTCTTCTTGGCGCTCTCCAGCAGCAGCTGGGAGCGCTTGCCCTCGGGGATGAAGGACAGGTTGTAGCAGCCCACCAGGCTCAGGTCGGCCAGCATGCGCACCTGGCGGTTGTTGGCCAGGTTGTAGGGGCAGTCCATGAACTCCTGCAGCGTGCAGCCCGACCAGTCTGTGCCCTCGTAGCAGGGGGGCAGCTCCTCGGGCGTGGGCGTGCGCCCGTCGCACATGTGCAGCGAGGTCTTCCAGGTGGCCCCCCGCTGCACGTGGCGCCACTCGCTCAGGTAGCGCGACACCGGGTCCCGGAGCAGGGTGATGTAATAGAACTTCCTGCAACGAGAGGGGCAGAAGTCAGGCGAGGCGGCCAGGGCGTGTGCACGGGGAGCAGCAGGCTGTGCTCTGCAGTGAAGGGGGCAGCGGGCGAGCGCCCCAAGTCTGACTGCTCTAGGTCTACACTGTGGGACCCCAGAAGTGGCTTCACCTTTGAAAGTACATTTAACTTTCAAAATGACCACTTCTGAGTGAGACACCCAACATCTGGGGTGACCTGCCACAGACACAGGGCCTCATCAATAGCTGCCCTGCAGTGTGACTGCCAGTGTCCGAAGGGCCTGGCTATGCTGTCCTGGCCCAGGGGCTCCATGGGGGCCCTCCCCTGAGCCCCCAGTGTACTCCTGCCTGCTTACTCCTCAAGGGGAACAGCCCGACTGCCCTGCTGGGGTGCAGAAGGGTAGCCCAGCGCCCACACTGCCTGGAGCCATTGGTTTATAGACACTCACACGGCAGGCTCGGGCCCCCAAGGGGCCACTCAGCAGAAGTCACTGGCAGTCCTAGGCTACAGGCTGTGGTCCGGGCCCCCCACTGTGTGTCAGGGCCCACCCAGGGCTCCAGTGGGAGGGCACAAGTGGTGTCCTAGTGGAGGGCCCCTGGTGAACTGCAATTCGTCATCTGTGTTGTCTCCAGGGCCTGTTCCAACCCCGTGGAGTCAGGCAGCCCCCAAGACAGCACTGCCCCACACGGCACGAAGGGGTGTCTGCACCGGGGGAGACGTGACTCAAGAAGGCTCCGCCCCCCTCCTCTGTGTGGCAGGTACTGACCCCACGGCTCCGGAACAACACGGCCATGGCCCTGACAGGCCTCACAAGAAGACCCCCAACATGGGGTGTCCACACTGCCCCCCCCATTAAGGCCCAACAAAAGCACCCAACCCCATCGCTGCTGTAAGCCCCATAAAATTTGCCCTCAGACCCCTGGACCACAGGGGAGGTGACCCAATTTCTTTAACTTGCCTTAAAAGGCTTGTTTTCCACAGATGCAGCAAAGCAGAACCGCCAGTGAACCATGTGCGGGGGCCGGGGGGGGGGGTGACACCTTGCCTCTCGGCCAGGGGCAACCAGAGCACACCAGCCAGAACACAAGCAGGAACACCGGCGGCGGCAAAGCCAGAGTTCACTCAAAACTGAGGTGCAACAACGAGGAAGCTTGGTGAAAGGACCAAGATCTCATGGGGTTCCTTACCCCATTTTATTTTTTAAAAATTTATTATTTATGCATACAAGAGCTGCGGTGCAGGCCAGAGGTGTGGGGGTGAGAGGCTTCACCAGAGACAGAGTGGGGAACAGAACAGGCAGACTGACTGGAATACACTGCTGAGGGGAGCAGCGGGCGAGGCAGGAGAGGTCTGCTGTGCCATGTGGGTAGCTCCCTGGCCGGGGATTGAACTCGTGCTGCAGAGGCTGCAGACAGCTTCACAGGTTGTGTCTTAACCCCTTGCTCCACCAGGGAGGCTCCTAACCCCACTTTAATCCTCAAAAAGCCTCTGTCCACTTCAGGCCAGAGGCAGATTTGAGGTTTTCCTTCTGCCTCTTTGTAATCAACTGCTCAATAAAACTTTTGCTTTCCTCAAGAACCAGTGCCATTTTATTGGCTTCTCCCTATGTTGAGCAGTGAAACCTCGCCCTGTGGGAGGGCTCTGGGGGGCACAGAGTCAGGTCAGTGTCCTGACCTGACTACATCTTCCGGGGAGGGGCCCCTGACGGGTGGGGCATGGTACTCAGTGAGGGCAAAGGCAGCCACTCCAGCCCAAGGGAGGCCCATGCGGAAAACTGCAGGGGTGTGCTGAAGCACCTTCCTAGGTATTTGGGTCCCCCTGCAGGGCCTGGGGGAAGGCAGCTAAAGGACGGCTCCAGGTCTGGGCAGCTACTGGCCCCTCACTGTCCCCATAACTGCCAGATTCCTGTGTGCCAGAGGAGGGCGGGTGTGACTGATGGGAAGCCTGCCTGAAGGGGCGGGGTCACGCGTCTGTATCCCAGGCTCCTCTGCTCATAGCCCAGAGCGGGTGTGTGACTTCGTCTTCTAGCAGGTTACAGGGCGGGGTGGGCGGGGAGGGGAGGAGCTCAGGCTGGCGGACTTGACCCGCCCGTGCCTTGGCAGAGCGCGCTGGGTCACTGAGGGCTTGGTGCCCTCTGGATGGGACTGCGGAGTCTCCCTGTGCTGGTTTTCTGGGCAGGCTCCAGGTGATGGACATGATCCCTCTGCTGGGGCTCATGCTGACCCTTGCAGCTGTGAGTGCCGGGTGGACTGGCCTTGGTGCTCACAGCATCCCTGGATGCTGGCTGGGCTGCACAGGAGCACATCCATGGCTGCAGTGACCGGGAGGGGAGTTAGGATGGAGCATGTTGCACCTTCTCTGTTCAGGCCCTCCAGTTCTGTCCTCCACACATGGCCTGCAGTGGATATGAAGGGCCAGGTCACTGCCAGCTTCTACCTGGACAACGAGGGAACCCGCTGGGCACCTGTAGGCTGTCGACTTCCTCAGGAGCTCAGGCACCTGACTCTGCCTCCACTGCCTCAACCACCCTGGCTCTCGCTTGCTCTGCTGCAGCCACATGGCCCGTGTCCACACGGCTCTGCCCAGAAATCCTCTCTCCTGTCTCCCTTGATCTGCTCTCTTTGCCCATCACACGCACGAGAAACATCAAAGCATTAGGTTTTGGCCTATTGTCTGTTAAAGGGGAAGCATGGCAGTGATCAGAGCGGGAAGGCAGCTGGGGACAGCATAGATCAGAAGCCCCCAGAAGACCGACCCCCCACCTCGGGCAGCCCCGGGTCCAGGACGCGACCTGATGTGTGTTCTCCGAGATGCGCAGGACTCAGCTATGAGACTGGGCAGGGGTCAAAGTAGTTGCAAACTCAACGGTGTCCCACACCCTGCCTAGAAGTGCCAGGCACCTGCCACCAGACAAATCTAGCTTCTGCCCCAGCCTCCATGACACAGCAGGGTCTCTGCTCCAGAGCAAAGCGCTTCCTGTGCTGACATCTGGCAACCCCCACAAAATAGGGTATTCTGCCCATCATGTTCCAGCAGGATCTGCCAGGTGATGCCAGTGCTAACCAACAAGGTTTCCAGGAAAAGGGAAGGAGGTGATATAGGAAACCACGGATTGGAGCATATAATAGAACAGACATAGGACTGCAGAGAAGCAGCTAGACAGAAAAAAACAGAGCAGGTAGAGGACTGGTCATCAGATGGGACCGAACTTCTCTATAGCAACAACATAGTTTAAAAATCAACAGATTGGGCCTCCCCGGTGGTGCAGCGGTTGAGCGCTGGGTTGCGAAGCTGCCCGCAACCTCTGCAGCACCGGTTCAATCCCCGGCTGCTCCCCAGCCACCGGAGGAGGGTCCCACATGGCGCGCAGACCTCTCCTGCCGCCCGCTGCTCCCCTCAGCAGCATACTTCGGTCCTTCTGCCTGCTCTGCTCCCCGCTCTGGCTCTGGTGAATTCTCTCACCCTCCCGCGCTTCTGACTGTACCCAGTGCATGTATAAATAAATAAATAAATAAATAAATAAATAAATAAATCTTAAAAAAAAAAGAATTCACAGATTTAAAAAAAAAATCAACAGATTAATGGCTTCCACAGGCTGAGGGAAAGTGACCAACTAGATGTCAAACCCAGTCAAACAGTCAACCATTTGGCAGGGAGGGGGAGATATTTTCAGACATGCAAGGATTCAGACAATCTATTTTCCATGAACACGACTTTCAGAAGACACTGGAGTGTGTGTCTCATTTTACTAAGTGAGAAAACAAAGCAAGGGAGCTGGGAGCCCCCGACCAGGAGAGCCACGAAGGCTGCTGTGAAGTCCGCTGGGTGTGCTGGGAGCCGAGGGGTGGTGGGGCCTGGGGGGAACGGCACCAAGACACACAGAGCCTTGTGGGGAGAAGGGCAGGTGCATGCAGCCCTCTGGAGTCGCTTGGGAAAAAGCAAGTCCATGAAGCTAGAAAAGGAAGGAAAGGGAAGAAAGGCAATCATTAGTTCCAGGAAAAAGTCACATAAAAAATGAGGGGTACAGCTATACTGAAAATTAAATGCTGGTTTTAGAGACTTTATGTAAATTATTGATTTAACTAACATGAGCTTTAACTCTGCTTGGAGGACAGCTGGGGAGCACAGACACGATATAAGGACACTGGATTTCCATCTACCAAAAACAGCCAGGAAACAGGTAATACTAACACCACTGAGTTAAGAAATAGCAGTACAGGGCCTCCTGGTGGCGCAGTGGTTGAGCGCCGGGCTGCAATGCTGTCCGCAGCCTCTGCAGCGCCAGTTCCATCCCTGGCTGCTGGCGAGGGTCCCACATGGCGCGCAGACCTCTCCTGCCGCCTGCTGCTCCCCTCAGCAGTGTACTTCATCAGTCTGCCTGTTCTGTTCCCCGCTCTGGCTCTGGTGAATTCTCTCACCCCCCGCGCTTCTAACTGCAGCCAGTGCTTGTACAAATAAATAAATACATAAATCTTTAAAGAAAATAGCATAAATTAGAAACATGGACAAATACATGAAGAATGTGACAAAGAGCTGCATGTATTTCTGGAAGAGGCTGGATAGGAAAAACAGATCTGCAGCTTTTTATCACAAGCTTCTTAAAACTATTTGTTTTTAAGCATGTGTATAAATTATTTTAACTGAAAAAACATAAACAATGAGGAGATTGTCTCCAGAAACCTAAGGAACGATATTTCCCTTCACTAGTCATGGAGGAAAGGAAGCACGAAGCCACCCTGGGATAGCCCGTGGGCAGGCAACAGATAACGCGCGCCCTGACGCGGGCACTGCCAGCTCTCCACACTGCTCTGGGATGTGACTCCTGACAGCACCCTGGAGGGTCTCTCCTGAAAAGCTAAAGGCAGACACATTCACCCCAGGACCTTGGCTCCGCTCCCAGGCCCCCACCTCCAAACCCGGTGGGCGCCAGGACAGGAAGCGGCACTTTCAAGTCCTTGTGTCTGCGGTGGGGGGCTGGGGATGCCCCTAAATGCCACCA